CAGGTGTTGCCTGCCAGTAAGCCTGTCACAGAAGCTTTGTCTGGGCCTCTAAGCCTGTCATGGCAGCTGTGTGGTCAAGCTGTTCTGGGCTTCCCACACTAGACTGGCCCCAAACTTACTAAGTAGCTGAAGTCCTTGAACCCCTAATCTTCCTGTAGCTCCCAAGGGGGTTTCAAGTATGTACCACCATGCCTGGTTTACAAAATAGTTTTATACATAAGTTTCCACCTAGCTGTCTTGCAAAATTCTTTTCACTGTGACAATTCAATTGTTACATTTCCCACACAGATGATGCCAAAGGCATTTAATTTTATCAAACCCCCTTTCTGCTTCTTTTGAAGCCATTATATATACATTTTTTTTCCTTCAATCTATTTTTTTTCCCTTGCACTGAAAGTGAGTTGGGAGGTGAGTGTCTGGCTTTCTTAGGAAAAGAAGAGCCTGGAGACTCATGGGTGGCCCTGCTTGCAATATGTGGATTAAGCAGTTAGATTAGCAATTGATAAGTGAAGTATCTAAGCCCACAGGCCTCATGGGTAAGTAATTCAGCCGAGGGAAGGAATCCCCCAGAGCCCAGACCCCTAGATGGGAAAAAGGAGGAGTGTAGGGACCACAGGTCCTGTGTGTAGACTCAGACTGGAGAATGTGGGGGGGGGACCCATGCCATCAGTAGACTGAAGCCTGGGGTGCCCCCAACACTGGGCAGGTGCAGTTACACCCGGGCAGGCCACAAGGGCAAAGGAGTGTTTGTCCCTCACCACTGAATCTGATCTAAATGGGGATAAATGTGTGAATGTTTTAACTGCAAATTCAAAATGCTAATCTTCTAATTCAGAAGCACATTTTAAAATAAGATTACATATGTATTGCTCTCTGGGGGGCTGGATAAGATGTCTGTGTTGTTTGGTATCCAGAAACATGACAGGAATTATTTTGATTAAGGTTTGTTTGGAGTCTGGTTTATTCCTGTGGTTGTGATCCCCTAGTGTTGGGGTTAGAACCCAGGGCTGCCGGGAAGGTGGTGGCACATGCCTTTAATTCCAGCACTCGGGAGGCAGAGCCAGGCAGATCTCTGTGAGTTCAAGGCCAGCCTGGGCTACCAAGTGAGTTCCAGGAAAGGAGCAAAGCTACACAGAGAAACCCTGTCTCAAACAACAACAACAAAAAGAACCCAGGGCCTTGTGCAAACTGGCTAAGCATTCTCCCTGTGATGCAGCTACAGCTCATAATGAATATTTTTGATTACTCATTGATGATTTAACATTGTGAAAGCTTCCCAAAAGCTAATGCTTTTCAACATTAGTATTAGACTTCAGTTGAGTGATTATTGAAATGTCATAAAAATAAACTGCTTAGCCTGGCATGGTGGGGCATGCCTTAAATTCCAGCAGAGGTGAGCTGATCTCTGGGAGTTTGGGGTTAGTCTGGTTTTCATAGGGATTCCAAGCCAGCCGTGGCTACATAGTAAGACTATGTCTCAAAATAAATAAACACTTTTTAAGAAAAGGAATTGCTTACCCAAAAATTAAACAAAGAAAAGGGAAACATTTCATTTATATGGAAGAATGTATCCCGTTCAAGATATGGTTGCTGTGAGACTTCTCCTAGGAAAGCTATTTCTGTTCACCCAAGATAGAGGGTAACAGCAGCCCACTAAACGACTCTCCCCAGCTTGCTGCCCCAGCAGTTTTATTGGAAATACTCACAGGAGCGGGAGTGACTCAGCAGCTGCCTCACCAAACAGCCCACCTGAGCACGGGTGATGACTCATGAACTTGGGGTTCCTTGCCCAACTTGCAGACAGCTGTACCACTGAAGAGTCCTCTGTGTCCCAGCTTTTGACTCTTGTGGAATCTCAGGGAGGGGGCTGGTGAGTTTCGTGAACTTCCAGGGTTTTTATTTTTTTTTTTATTTTTGAGACTATGATATAATTACGTCATTCCTATCTCCCCCCACCTTTTTTTGTTTGTTTATATTTATTTTATGTGTGTGAGTATTGTGCCCGCATGGATGTGTGCATGAGCCTGCCATGCCCTCAGAGGCCGGAGAAGTGTTGTGAGATCGGAGATCCTGGGTTCTTACAGAATGTTTCGAACTGTCTGTCAGTGCTGAAAACTGAACCTGGGTCCTCTGCAAGAGCAACATGTGCTCAGAAAAGAATGTTTCAATCCAGAGGAAGCAGGCTTAGATCTCACCTGAGATGCCCATCGGGAACTATACAGATGCAGACAGAGTTCAGCAGATGGCAGTGTTTAAAGTAACTGGTGGGATGACGGCCTCACTGCAGATCGCTGGGCAAGGGTTAAGGGAAAGGTGTGAAAGACAGAAAGGAAAAGAAGAACTTGTTAACCGCAAAGCCTTGAATTTATACTTCTGTTAGCTTTTTTATGTATATACATTGAGAATTTTAAAAACTCTATAGTATGCTGGAGAGATAGTTGCTCTTGCAGAGAACTTGGGTTCAGTTCTGGGTACCCACATGGAGGCTCACAACACCCATCCACATAAAAATAATAAATAAATATTAAAAATTAAAATAAGCTGGGCAGTGGTGGCACACACCTTTAATCCCAGCACTGGCAAGGCAGCGACAGGCTTGTTCGGCCCGTTGCCTTGGATCCCCAGTCTGATGGCCTGTGTTCCCCATTGGACTAGGGCATCTAATAGTATATAGCCTGGGGGAGATCATCACCAACTGACCTGGCTTCCATGATGACAGTGCCATCAACCCTGTGGGCTACTGCAGTACCCGAGTGTATGCCTGCATGAAGTGCCCAGACCAGAAGTGTCTATATACCTGTCAGACCAAGGATGGTGATATGCAGCCTCGGTTTGAAATTGTTCCTGAAGATGACTCCCAGAACACCATCGTGGGCTCCTCTGCAGAGGCCTGTTGTGAAGAACTGCTCAGGGCCATCAGTACTACAACGGGGACACTGGTGGCTAATCCACTTTCATGTGGTGCTGACTTCTTTGGGTTTTCCCATCCAACCGTCCACAACCTGACTCAGAGTTGTCCAGAAGCTCAAAACTGCGTCAGTGATCAGTGGGTGAAACTGGATGCACGCCAACCCAAGAAGGGGCAGCTCTCCCGGGAACTGCCGGAGAAGGATACAGCTGTGAGCCTTGAAGCCTTTCAGACACAGATCTTTGATGATGACCGTGAGGATTCCATTCTGCCAGGATCCTGGACCTGCCTGAGAGTCAGCATGAAGCCCTTGTTACATCTTTACCAGCCAGAGTTCCTGACACATGAGCCCTTGGGAGACACTGACCTCGCAGCCCCTGAGGTGTGGGCCATCACAGCGTGGGCCAGTGCAGTCTTCAGACTGAACAGGAAGGGAGTAGAGCCTGCCTCCTTTCATCATCATGAGGTTTTCACTTGAACTAAAACTTCCTCTAGGTGGAAGATGGTAGGGGTTGAGAAGGGATTATTAACACAGTTCATCGTGGATGTTCCTGTGCTGACGACAGTGTAAACTTCAGTTGCTTTAATTTTTAATAATAAATATCTCTTGACAGTTAAAAAAAAAAAAAAAAAAGAACTCTTACAGAGTTCAGTTCCTAGCACACTTGCCGGGGACAGGAGGAGGGAGTGTCTCACAACCGTGTGTAAACTCCAATTCCAAGGGATCCGATACCCTCTTCTGGCCTCTGAAAGCAATTGCATTCATGCGGGTTCACACACACACACACACACACACACACACACACACACACACACACTACATATAAAACTAAAAATAAATCTTTCAATAATACCACATCACTTTTTAACCCTTTGGAACAAGTAAGAAAAATGCCTCAGAGCTGGTTAGTTTATTTTTTAAGTCCATTAACTTGTCCCCCCCCCCTTTTTTTTTAAATTAGAGAACACAGAGTTGTTGAGATCTTGCTGATTGCATCCTGTGGTGTACACATCAGTTGCTGTATCCACATACTCATCAGACTCGGACGTCTGTCTGTCTCACCACCTCTTTGTTCCGGTATGCACGTACAGCGGTGTACGCCCGTGTCTGGTTTATTTTTGTGTGCACTTGGCTTCTCTGGGAGACTCATCCTGTCTGTTAATCTTTGTCATCTTTTTGGTTTGGTTGGCATTTTTGTTGTTTTTGTTTTGTGAAACAGGGCTTTTCTGTTTAACAGTCCTGGAATTCACTTTGTAGACCTGGCTGGCCGCGAACTCACAGAGATCTGCCTGCCTCTGCCTGGGAGTGCTGGGATTAAAAACGAGGGTGGGGGAGGGAGTGGGGGTGGGGAGCGGCACCACCCCACCGCCTGGTTTAGTCTTTGCAGTCTTAATAAGCGGTTCCCTTCACTCCCTGCCTCCCAGTCTGAAGCCAGGGCTCTAGCCTATCCACTTTCTTGGCCTGTGGTCCAGGCCTGCACAACACCTCCAAACCCTCAAGTTCCTTAGTGAAGAAGGGGTAACACATTTTGAAACCACACCCCCAGCCCCACCCCGCACGCCGGAAGTGTCGGATGATCGCTTCTGTGACACATATGATTAAGCAACCCTTTTCTTGATGGTGAGACAAGCCTGTGGCAAGACCGCCGCTTAAGGTTAGGTGGTGAGACCCTACTTCAACAAACAACAGCAAAAATAAACAAAGCAAGCATATGGGGGCGGGAGGGGGGTGGGAGGGAGAGAAGAGCAATCAGAAATTTTATTTTTTCCGGAGGTTTTAGTTCCAAAAGGCAGCCAATCATGGCTCAACGGATGATGTGCTATTTAAAAATTAAACGAAACTCGGGCCCGTTGCCATTTAATCAAGCCGGTGATCTTCTGGACTCGTGGAGAGGTAGCCACCCCGAAGTGCTCCACCCACGGAGGCGCTAGAGCGGCAGCCTTATCCAGCCGCAGACTTTTCCTTCCCTTTTCACCTTTTCCCAGGCTCCGCGAGCAGCAGGCAAAGTCCTGAGCCCCGGAACCCGGGCCCCGCCCATCACCCCGCGGCGGTTCGCAGGCTGCCGGGGCAGGGGCGTGGCCACGCCGGCGGGGGCGTGGTCTGAGGCCCCGCCCCCGCCCGCGTCCCCGCCGCTGACCGACACGAGCCGGGAAAGCAGCTGCCGCCGCCGCCGCCACTTCACCGGAGCCCGGACGCGAGCCAGAGAGGCAGAGCGGGCCCGCGCGCCGTCGCCATGGGGAGCCGCGTGTCCCGAGAGGAGTTCGAGTGGGTCTATACGGACCAGCCGCACACCGACCGGCGCCGGGAGATCCTGGGTGAGGACCGGCGCCCCGTTATGTGCGCGCGGCCGTGTGCGGGCCCCGCGGGGGGCCCCCGGCGCGCACGGTGCGAGCACGGCCTCCCA